TTAACAGGGCGGAGGGGGGACCGGTGTTTCATTATTATTTTAATTTGCTTGTTGTTTAGTTTACTATTCATGTATTAAATATTGATTTAAAGTTTTCGTGACTGCATATCGAAAAACCCAAAGAATATTAATATATTATTCACACATGATGCATTTTAATCAATATGATTTATATTAAATATTATGTTACGTAAATTATTACATAAATACTAAATATACATTTTATTTTTAAGGTATTATTCATAAATAATTCACGTTCTGATTTTTTTTATAAAAATGTCATTTAAATGCGTCAATTCATGATACTTACACATTTTATTTATAATAATTGTACTATTCATTATTACGAATTTAATTATATAAATTTCTTTATTTATACATTTTTTTTTACTTATTATTCACTTTATTTGCTACTTAATGTTCTTCTGCTATTCGTTGTACGCAGTTGCAAATTGACCTGCTGAGGTTGTGATGGGTTTCTTTTGTTCCATTTCTGATACTCTGTTTTCCCGGTACTGTTCCCGTGCGGCTGTGATGTGCACCGATGCCCACTTTAGTGAGGGCGATGTTGGCACGCAGACTGAAGATCGATTGAAGAGGACAAATGCGAGTCCCTTCGTGTCTAGTCAATGTCTCGTTACTTGAACAAATATGTAAAACTTAACCCATAGCTCGAGAAGTATCCTGAAGCTCATTAAATAAAGGAATAGGTTTTACCCTTTTAACTGGCACAAAAACTGACACCTTTATTCAAGGCATCATGTTTGCAATAACCACAACACAAGCAGTCAAAATGCAAACAAAAAAGACAACTCTGATAATAATATGCACTGACCTTGAATTTGATTGGTCCACACCCGAGACAGCTTTTCTTAGAGCCTAGTCTCCATTGGTGTTGGACCAATTATGATTGGTATCTGAGCTCCTCCCGAACAAACAACGAAAGCTGTCAATGCTCCTAACATTTCCACTTTCAACTGAAGAAGCTTCAAATCTTGACGATGCTCTCAGCACGTGGAGGGAACGTCACAGACATCGCGCTGATCAACAAGGGGCAGAACCTGAAAGCGCATCGAAGAGAGGCACAACGCGTAATCTGCACACCGCACTCCGACGTGCACGCCGCTCACAAATCCAAGCGCCACAGTCCAGGCTCAACCTTGCGTAGCTTCCGAGATCTGAAAAAGAAATTGGCGACATTCCGGGTTGATTTGGCCACAGCCTCTTTTGAAATCTCCCGTGCACTTTCATTACTCAGCGCGCCCCGCGAATCCCTGCGGTGGAGTAGCAGCGCCCTCGCGTGGCGCGCACCAACACCGCTCCAGGCACCGCCGGGACCAAAACAACGTCTGGGAATCGGTCGCGATTCGTGACTTGGTCCGCAACTCTGGACCAGTGCCGGCAGTAAAACAAATGAACCCCACGTGACCCCCAACATCCCCATCTCCCCCACCCCCTAGGGGTCCCTCCTCTCGCGTGACAACCCCCAAGCCCCCTCCCCCCCCAACCAGACAACCCCCCCACCTCATGCACCCTTTTATAGCACCTCGCAGCACCCCATCCCACTAACCCTCCCCCGACCCCTCCCACGACCCCTCCCACTACCCAGGCCACTCCGCAACCCCTCCCACTACCCCTCCAACTACCCCTCCCCCTACCCCTACCACTCCCAAAACCCCTAACCACCCCCCCCCCCTCCTTGCAACCCGCTCAGCGGATCCCTCCGTGTGGTCCATCGCTGCCGCTCAGCCAGGCCGCTCACACACTCAACGCAACGCGTCGTGTTAGATGCATCCAGGACCACGGTAACGGTGTGAAGGAGCGACGTCAGCAGCGCAAGTTCACGTTGAGACGTCTCCACGTGGGGTCTCCCCGTGATGGGAGCCCCACGGTGTCCGCGTCTCTGCTGCTCAGGGCTGCGCTGTCACCTGGCGTGCGGAGCGGTGGCGCAGCGGTTAGCGGCACGCTGCGCTTCGAAACCGGGCCAACCGAGTTGGATTTCCCGCTCACGGCCGCCAACGCCGGCGACGAATGATCTGAACAACCGGTCCTGCCCCCCCTAGGTCGACTCGGCCTCAAATGTGTACCTGGTGTGGTGTGTAGTAAACATCGCCACTAGGGAGACAAAGGCGGCCGGGTGTAGTGCTAGCCACCCACCCCCTCGTGTCACAATGCCGGCCTTGACAGGTGCTGCTACTCGCTAACAGCACTTGCCCCAACAGTCTGTTAAGGCTACACGGGGGATCTTTGTCGTTGTCTCAACTAGTCTGGGCTGTGCTGTAATCGAGTGATACAAAAAGATCGATGTAACTTTTTTTTACCGCCTTCAATGCAAACAGCTGATTAATACATAGGCTGGTTGCTATGGAGATGCGCGCCACAGTCACTATGTATGGGAGCGTGCGTGGTGACGTCACAATGCACAACACGTGCCAATCAGTGACTACTTCAGCACTAACCGGTTACATTTCTATTTAAAGCTCTCGTAACTGTAGGGATTCATATACTTGGTTCTTTCGGTAAAGGCACGTAGAAACGAAAATTTTATTTTTTATTATTTCATTATTTCCCTTCTACGTGACTTTACAAAAAAAAACCAAGAATATACACTAACCGGCTGTGTGTTGGAGAGTGAACCCACTACAACGTTGACAATTTGAGTTCCGTGGCGTCTCGCTGGTGACTACAATATCAAGCAGCTGCATCGGGCGATTTGCCAGGCAAGGCCCACTGAGCTATGCGGCTCTTTTATAGTTCTACTCACAGAAGCGACCTCGAAACACGTGACGACAGCTCAATGAAGTGGCTTGTCACGTAGAAATTTATAGCAGCCAAATACTCACAATTCTAAATGTGGAGGTAAAACCGGAGGACCCGGGGAAAAATCCACACGACCACAGGGAGAGACACAGAAACTCCAAATATACAGCAGGCGTCGTCAGGGTCGGGATCGAACCCACGACCTCCTGTACGCCAGACGAGGCAGTGAACATCTCCTAGCCACCATGGAGCTTTGATGTGGAATGATGCTCTGAGCCTCGTGTCAGTGTCTTGTGCACCAAGATACTTCTCATTATATTGTCACTCTTTAGTTGGCTGTCAGTATCCTGAACAGAAACAAAATACTTGCTTATTAACTTCTGAAGATCATAAAATATGAAGGGGGGAGGGGGAAACGGGGGAGGATGGGGAGGGGGTAAAGTGGGAGGAGTGGGGAGGAGGAGGGGGCAGACACTCTGTAAGCATAGTGATGGCGGTGGAATGCAATCACTGAGCATGTTTCACGACCATATTGATGATGGAACCCGGCTTGTGACGAGGCCTTTTGAAGGCGAGGGTCACGCTAGGGGCTGCAAGGTGGCCAGATGGCGCCACATGGAGCAGGTCCGTGACGCCCTCCTTGACGCTCCTCGCCTTCGTCTCCGTGACGCTCCCTGTGGTTGACGCCGAGACGACGTCGTCGGCAGTAGGAGGCAGTGTAACGACATCCGTGGCAGTCCCTGCACTGTGATAGGCTCCCAACGTCTGTCTACGCGTGCCGTCTTCACAACCCGCGTTTGCCAGCATGGCGAAGTTCTGTCAAATAACTCCCATCACCCGCACGGCATAGGGTGGCCTTAGTCAGTGTACATATCTATGTAAATACGTGTATTGAACTTCTTATGCACCGTACATAGCGTCCGTGCTAATCGGAGGTGGGGGAGTACGGTCGTGGGTTGAGAAGAATAATAACAAAAACAAAGCTGATTTCAACTTGTAGCACACCACACGGTAAGTCGCCCGCTCTCATACAGAGGGGACGACCTCTGAGGCGCCAGGAGGGAGGATCCACAGACAAGGAGCGGGATAGGCAGCAGCCAGGTGACGAGGAGCCGGCGCCACCAACGATTGCGCCGAGCTAGGAGCTCCTCCTCTACAAATTAAAGTGGCGTCGGGCAATTTTTGATTAGGGGCTTAAAAATTCTGGGAGGTGAACGGAGAACCCGGAGTGAGAGAGGGAGTGGAGGGAGGGAAGGAGAGGGAGGGAGGAGAGGGAGGGAGGGGAGGGTTGGAGGGAGGGAGGGAGAAGATTCCCATTGCGAGGCACTGGTGGGCTGGTCTTGTATGGGAAACTTGAAAATCAAATGTGATCAGAGTGATCAGAGTAAAATAAAAAAAGATAACATATTTAATGTTAATTTGTGAGTATTGTCAACACATTGCCTGGAATCTTCTCCAGGTAGTCTCCAGAGCCCGGAGGTACATTTGTGGTGGTATCTTTGCAAAGTTTCAGAAGTGTTCACATTTTTTTAAGCACCCTGTATATAAAATTATTGAAGCACCCTGTATATATCATTATTGAAACATTCTGTTTTGTTGACCATAGGCCAAATTTGTGTGCAGCGTGTTCACAAAATGCCTGGGGCCGATTTTTCTTTTTAGTTCCCAGTCCCTGTCACTGTGTAAAGTTCAAACGTGGTGATGGTTGTGGTGGTGGTTGTTGTTGTGGTTGTTGTGGTGGTGATGGTTGTGGTGGTTGTATTAGTGGTGGTGATGGTTGTGGTGGTGGTTTTTGTTGTTGCTGCTCCACCGCCTTCTGGCGCACACCAGGATCACGTGGCGCCTCGTTGACTCGCCCTGGCGGGGAGTTCCCAGCAGCGTCAGTGGTGATCCACCAACCCCCCCCCCCCTCACAGTGCTGGGTCACAGCAGCGAGACTGCAGGGTGCCCTTCAGTGCCTCTGTCTGTTTTTGTTGTCGCCAACGCGGTGACGTCACAGCGAGGCTGCAGTGTGCCCCTCAGGGCCTCTGTTTTTGTTGTCGCCAACGCGGTGACGTGGTGACGTCACAACGCGGGACTCCCCCAGTGGCGGGAATCCAGAATGTCAGAATCTGTGTTCTGTTGCAGGAGGAAGCTGTGAAGCTCTTTGTGTTCACAGATGGTGCAGTGGTGAGGGGCGGGCGTGGGGGGAGCGCGTAGGGGGGTTGGGGGAAAGGGGAGGGGTGACGTGGTGACGTCATCACGTTGGGGGAGCGTGCGTGGTGACATCACCGGGTCCATGACGCTGCAACAGCAGATAACTTGAACAGATGGGACATTGTTTGGCGCATTTTGTGTTTGGCGCCATCTCTTCATTTGTTTATTAATTTGTAGATTTAATTTGCTTGGCAGTGGCTGTGTAGAAGATTTGGGCCTCGTGTTTAATTAATGAACAGCGTTGCGGGATGCAGTGAGCACGAATGACGCTGTACACAACTACATTATTATTGGTGCTCTGTATTTTTATTGTCGAATCAACAATACAAGGATTACAATGTCATTGTCATACGTGTAGATTTAAACCTTTTAAAATTCATATTATTGTTGTGTTTCTCCCATAATCAATTATAGCAGTCTATGAACACATCCCAGTTCACCATTGCTAATCACTGCACCCCTACACTATTCTCACACTCCTCTGGCACTGTGAATACATTCACATTGGCTTCACACACAGAGCGGTACTGATTGTATAACCCCCTAGAAATATTGTGAGGATTGTTTATGCTTAACCCCCCTTTATGATGGAGAGCCACGCTTCTCCTCGCCACCGACGGCCACCGACAGCCACCGGCCAGCCACGGGCGTGGCACTGCGCGTGATGGTGACGAGGGTGGCGAGCGCCGTGCATCGTGGCGTCTGCTCTCTGCGCTGTTCACGTTCACCCCTCTCAGGACGCACCACTCAGATCCAGAATCCTCACTGAGTCACCATCATCACCCCACCACCCCACCAGCATCCCAGGATGTAGGGGCTGAGTGAATGTTTGGTGAAACGAGTACAAGAGTATCATGGAATCGGCGCTGTAAAACGACAGCAGCCCCGCGTCCCAGTCCAGATGAACCCCGACTCTCCGCGGAGGCTCTAGCACCGACAGTGACGTTTTTACCCCGCCATGCACCACTGAGAAGCTGTCGCCACGTTTCCGTAGACACCAGGACACGTCACTCCCTCCCAGGCGGCACTCATCACCACGCCCTCTCCGTAGGATCGTCCCGTACGCGACTCCAATCCGACACCACTGTCCCGCACTCCCCACGTCCACCTCCCAGTAGTGCTGCCCTGATGAGAAGCTCTCAGAGCACAGAGCTTGTTGCCAGTAATCAAAGCGGTGTGGGTGATGGAGACGATTCTTGGGGACACTGCTCAGTGTCACCGTCCTGAGATCCGAGGAAATCTGGAGGCGGTTGTGGGCTGAGTTTGTGTCCAGAGTCGGTGAGCGTCCATCTGTGGTGATGACAGCAACGATGCCCGCACAGCGGTCACGGCGACGTGTGCACAGTAGTGGCACGAGCATTGCCCATAGCGTGTACACACACACACACACGCTGTGTGTTGTGTTGTTAGTTGTGTTGTTGTGGTCATACTGGAGTACATATTACATTGATACATAACAAAGTGAATATGATGTGTTAGTATTTGTGTGAACATACTCGTGTTCATTACTATTTGTGTACACATACTAATATCCATTGGTATTTGTGTCCACATACTAATTTTGGTTAGTATTTGTGTACGCATAGTAGTGTGCCCTACGGTCACCGGTGTTGACATTCATGGCGATTGATCTACCTAGACCAGGTATCGGCAACCTGGGGCTCTCCTTAAAAGACCGCTTAGCGATGGTATTAATCAAGGTCACCACCGTCTCATGTTCACCTCATGCATTATGGCGACTTTTGAAATATAGAGTTGTCTTTTTAATACCGGATTCAAACTAAAAAATGTCTCTTGTGATTTTGGCTACCGACCCCTGGCTGAGACGATCACCATTCTGCTCTCAGGGAACACTTTTCCCGCTTTGTGATGCACCTCTTGATACACTGAGGCTCTCATTGTTATCACCTCGGTGACAGCGTTTCTCGCTGAATCCACCTCAACTCTCACCCTCCCAAGATGACAAGTGCCTGTGTACTCTCGCCTGGCTTTAATACACGACACAGGCCCACCTCGTCTTGCTGATCTTGTGTTTGTAGCGAATGGGGCTGCAGCTATGAGTGAAACAAAGATACCTACATAGAGCAGCCAGGAGATTCGTTCGGACGTCTCCCACTGGGATGACTTTTGCGAGGTTCAGGCCGGTGGAGATGGGGGCTGGGTCATCCTGAGTCTCCTGGGATACCGAGCTCTTCCTGCACTCACAGCATGGGGCACACACCTAGTCTGATGAAGGTTCATGTCCCTCTACACACAGCATGAGACACAGAGTCTAATTAGGATCAATGTCTCTCTACACACACAGCACGGGACACACAGTCTAATGAGGGTCCATGTCTCTCTATACACGGACAATATGAGAGACAACTGCATACAATTGGGTTTATTAGGAATCCCTTTATGACCGGTCACTGATTTTTCCACCAGGTGGCAGACAGAGCTCGAGTTTGAGTCTGGGTTGGTACTGACCTGAGACTCTCATGCAGGGGATCCTGAAAAACACAAACCCGCATTTAACATTAACATTGACATCCTAAACAGATGCCCTACCTCCACACAGTCACTTGCTATTGAAGGTGGAGCGCGACATTAAGGAATTAATAAACACCAGCAAACGGAGAATGATTAAAAACAGGGTTATCTATGGGACCTATTTGCCAATCTCGAAATGTCATCATTAGACCTCCTTTGCCAGTACCAAAACATAAGAATGGGGTTTTTCCACTTTTTCTGGCAACAAAACTGAAACTTTTTTACGAGGAATGTCTGCATTAACCACAATACTTGTGGTCAAAATGCAACAAAAAACACACTAATATATGCATTGTCCTTGAAACTGTTTGGTCCACACCAGAGACAGCTTTCTTTTGAGCCTCGTCTCAATTGGTGCTAGACCAAAGGACGCCAAAAAGTGTATAACTCAAATATAATGCACTATCAAAGTAATGAGGCCTCATGGGTCATCGTCTACATCATTAGACCTCCTTTGCCAGTACCAAAATATAAGAATAGGGTTTTTCCCCTTTTTTTGGCAACAAAACTGAAACCTTATTATGAGAAATCATGTCTGCATTAACCACAATACTTGTGGTCAAAATGCAAAGAAAAAACACACTCTTGTATTGTGGTTAATACAGACATTATTCCTCGTAAAAACGTTTTAGTTTTGTTGCCAGAAAAAAGAGGAAAAACCCTATTCTTCTATTATCGAAATGATGAAAAAAATAGGAAGAGGCTTTATCCTTTCTGGCAATTAAAATAGGACGTGTTGAGATGTTCTTAACACCAAACAGATACCTATTGCAAGGTATCACTGCTCAACCAGGGCTATTCATTCTTTGATACTTGCTTAACCTTTCTACTTATAAGCCGATTATTTTTTTTTCTTCAAATACAGGGTTTGTTTAACTGGACACGGACCCCAACAAATGACAAAATCACTCTTTACAGGTCTAGAGTATGCAGCAAAACAAAAAAAGGGGAAAACCCCTATTCTTGGTTAAGTAATGTTCAACAACTTATGTTTTGAACTCTGAATAAACTAAATTTGTATGTTCCAGGTAAGGTTACGTCGCTCTTTTTCAGTAGCGAGCTGGCTATCACAAAATATAGCACAACAAACTGCTTTATGTGGACATTTATAATGGCAGCCAAATACTATGAATGCATGATGATGATTATAAATTTGGAGTTAAAAATCAGATGACCGAGAGAAAAATCTATGCGATCACAGAGAGAGAGAGAGAGACGGACACTCCAAATATATAGCCGACGTCAGGGTTGGTATCGAACCCACAACCTCCTCCATACCAGGCGAGGTAGTTAACATCTCCTAGCCACCACAGTGAGTGAATGGAGTTGGGGTCACCTGCAGGAAGGAGAGCGGGTCCTGCACGGCGAGGGCAGCGAGCAGCTGGTTGATCTCTTGCTCCAGGCCGTGTGCTCTGCTCTCGTAGCGAGCGATGTCCGCCTGGATGCGGGACAGCACGGAGCGGCCCTCCTCGTCCACGTGCTCCAGCGCCTCCCTCTCCTCTACCCTCAGCTGCTCCCTCCGGCGCTCAAACTCTCGCTTGATCCGCTCCTTGGTCCCACGCACATACTCCTACACAGAGAGTGCCGAGTTGTTGAGTCACTTGTAAGGTAATGATGCAATGTGGCGTCGTACAGGCAATGATTGTCACCATATCTCGATTATGTACACGGAGGTAAGCGACGTGTGCATTGGGAGCTCGGGAACATTTAAAGCACAGGGAGAATAAGAATGGGATATAAGGGGATAATATCGTAGGCAAGGGTAGTATAGTAAATACTTCTGTCTTTAGCTACACGTTGCTGAGTGTCTATCTGGGGACAATGAAATACATCTCTCTGGATATCATTCGCATCTGTCTATCTGTCCGTCCCACTCTGGATCTACCAAACGGTGCATCGGAGAGAAACGCGAATTAAACCGAAACAAATTATCTTGCCGAGGACATTCCCAGGAAATTGTGTCAAAGGTCTGCGAATATACAGAACATATACACGTGACATTACTCTATTGTTTTAAATTCAAATGTGTTGAAAGAAACAATGCTGGATTCGAAGGCAATACTAACATCCACTCCCCCTTGCACTCTGGGCAAGTTGGTGTGGTCCAGATTTTTTGGGGCCAGAAGCGAGGAATCACAACCTTCCATAGCAAGCATCGTGGTTTTATTAATGAAGGAATCGACAGGTAAAGTCGACAACGCATCAGCCAGCGTGGATCGATTCTATCCCCCCCCCAAAACCAAAACTTGTCATGCCGTAAGTTATGTTTCTGTGTGATTCCCTGGTGACCTTCTATTAACGTCGTAAACGTGTGTTGCAAATCTGGCTATCCTAAACCGGTTGATATGCTTCCCACATTTTTTCTAATTGAAGATAAAAGTTTCAGAAAGGTTATACGCTCAAAAAGTGGGCTTTAAGAAAATTGCGGACAGGCAAACACAGTTACGAACTCACACTTTGCTCTTTTACAGTTTGATGTCGTTGACTTTGTAAATTGAAAGTAGACAGCCAGCGAGTTGTAATTTGCAAACGATTCGCTTGAAATCCACACCGCTTGCAATTCACTGAAGTTATATAATGTGCCAACGTATGGGGCAGTGCTCGTCAATGATAAGAGCGAAGTTTAATGAAATACGATTCATAGGCAAACCTCCATGCGCCGGTAGTCATCCCTGAGGGTCCGTGTCCGTGACGCCGCCGTGTTCCTCTTCTCCTCTCTCCCCTCCTTCTTGACTCTAAGCTCCTCCTGTATTGCGATAGATAAATACATAAATACGTGGTGCTCGCCATTGGTGGATCACTGATATATCATCATCCCGCATCTCTGATTAGCACGGTTGGCTATGAAAGGTCAACACACACATTTCTGCATATGTCAACACACATATTTCTGCATATGTCTCCATTTATATTTTTACTGTTTACGCGATTGTATCCCGACTGCACTGTCTGTGCCATGCATTGAGATGAAGAATCAAATCGAAATTACCGTGGAGCAATGCAATATCCTGTTAGACAACATTATCGACAAATATCACGTACATTCTAAAATGTTTTAACTTCTTCGAGTGATGGGTGTAGCGGATTATCACATGCCCTACTATGAATCGTAACGTTTCTCACTTAGTCAAACTAACAATTTGAATTATCATGTAAAATATGATTTTACATGCACTTAAATGTTGACTGGGTGTAGACCATGAACTCACTAAACTTGAGTATCCGGTTTAAACTATGGGCGGCCGACAAGATTCTAACTGAGCATGACAGCGTTACCATCTCAGTGTTCTGACATCTGAGCCACCCTGCCACCTTTACCTGGGCGTAAAGGGACGTTTGGTCTCAACAGGAGCTCACTTGGTCGAAGTGAGGGTTCACGACCTACTAATGTGAATCCCTCAACTTCCTGTAACAATGTGGATTACAACAGAACATGACACTTCACCTGTCTTGTCTGTTGCGCTTTCTCCACTGTGATTACACTGTGTCCAGAGTGGTCTCCAGTGATGGTGCAACCTGTGCAGACCGGGATCTCATCCTGTTCACAGAAGTACTTCAGCTCCTTTCTGTGCTCCTTGCATCTTCGCTCCTCCAGGTTCGCGATGGGAGCCACCACAGCGTGGTCTCTCAACCTGGGATTCTCTACATGAGGCCTCAAGTGCGTCGCACAGTAGGACATCTCACATCTCAGGCAGGTCTTCACTGCAGGGGTCTGGCCGTCAGTGCAGATGTCACACACGATGACCCTGGCCATCCCGTCTCCAACTCTGAGCTGCTTCACCAGGTTGGCGAGGGCCACGTTCCTCCTCAGCTGGGGTCGTGCAGGGAAGGTCGCTCGGCACTGTGGGCAGCTGAAGCTGCTCGCCGTCGCCCAGGCGGCCTCCAGGCACCGGAGGCAGAACGAGTGTCCGCAGCTCAGCGTGGAGGGGCAGACGAACGTGCCCAGGCAGACAGGGCAGCAGAGCTCACTATCCACACTTTCACTGGCAATCGCGCTCGCCATGACCCATGGGCTTCACTGGGATCACTCGTTGTGTGGCTCAGAGAGATGCTGGACCAGGACCTCTCTCTTATAGCGATGGTGAAGAAGGAAGTAAAAAATCAAATACTTTCATTGTCATCACTGACATCATGGGACATTGCATGGAATGTGAACCCGCACCGCAAGGTGCTCAAACAGCAGCCTCAAGGTGAACACCCCTAATGTACACACCTTTAAATGAACAACATGTTTCAAATAATCTTTCTCTTAAAAATATATATATTTTAAATTAGTGTTGTTAATATTAATCAGTGAGGCGCAGCTGCCGTGGCTCATTCGTACAGGATGTCATTGTTTTGATCCCGACGCTGATGTCTGAATATTTGGAGTTTGCATCCCTCTCTTTGCATGGTCGGTTGAATTGTTATGCGGGTCCTCCGGTTTTCTCCTCCACATTTAGAATCAACATCACGTGCTTAGAGTTTTTGGCTGCAATCTATTTTCATATAATCTGGTTCATTGCGCTGTCATTTGTAATAGACAAAGAGCCACATAACACAGTGAGCCTTACCTGGTAAAAAAAAACATTGGTATAGTTGTAGATATCTCATCATTTCCTGAAATTACAACTCCGGGTAAGTACCCCAATGCGATGAGTTGCTTGAATGTCATTGTGGCATCCGAGACAAAATTTGTCTGTAGACTCCAGTGACCCATCATGGAATCTTGAGCCTTTTGTTTTCAGTGTGAATCTATCACCCACTCTACTTGCCTCCATCACCCACTGTTGGGTAGGATCTATCTCGGTGCGAGATGCCCTTTCTGGGGGTGTGACACGTGGCCAGATTGAGCATGGACACGTAAGTACAACTATTTGTTTAATCAAACCAATGTATTTATTAACATATTTTTTTACGATTGAGAAGGCTATACTAAAAGGCTAAAAACGACTGCTCTGGTGTGAGATTTGTTTCCACGCAGAGCGTAGGAATGTGAAGCTGAACCGGTCAGAGGGGTTTTCATTTGGCCGGTGGGTAACAAAACTTTGAGCGAATATACCTTCAACTTCTGAAGTTACTAGACTGTGTTGTGATATTCAAAATGGGTTTGCTTTGATTACAGCATGAGTATTGCAACCTGCGGGGAGGAGTGGTGGCGCAGGGGTTTGCACATGGCATTACCAATCAGGACACCTGAGATCAATATCTGGCCACGTTCAAAATCGTTAATCACTCGCCTAACTTTCCCGCCCACTTTGTTAATTTATGCTTTTGTTATTTTTACAGTATGATCACAGCCTCGTGTCGTCCAAGGGCGGCTTTATGGGTTGAGCTGCGAGTAGCGTGTCTGAAGATGCCTGTGGTAGCACCTTGTGAACGCTCTACAAGAAATATTGACAGGTAATGGGGCAATAAATAACTATCACTGTATATCTCTCTCGATCGCAGTCACACAGCAGAGATAGTAAAAACACAACCAAGAGGCACAAGCCAGTATACCAAAAAGAGTCTGCCAATTTATGAGCATCTCAAAAAAGGTCACAGAGACTTCGTGAAATGTCACGCCATCGGAATGGATAATGGCTGCGTTTTTAGTGTCTCAATTAACTTCGACACATATTTATTAATTTTGCATTGTCCTCGAACAGCCCCTGAAGCTTGTCGTGTGATTTGTCTGACAGTCTTCGAGTGCAACATTTGGCTCAGCTTTAAACAATGTGCACTGCAGATGTTCAAGAAGTTAACGTAAACGAAACTATGTTGTAATTTGCTAGGTAAGGCCCACTGAGCTATACACATATTTTTCAAAAGCGACCTGGCCATCAAAAATAATAGCTCAACAAAGTGGCGTATTGCGTGAACATTTTTTTTTAGCAGCAGCCAAATACTCTAAACGTGTGACGTTGATTCTAAATGTGGAGGTGAAACCCGGATGACCCAGATAAAATTCTACGTGACCACAGTGAGAGAGAGATGCAAACTCCAAATAGAGAGCAGGAGTCAGGGTCGGGATAGAGTCAACGACGTCCTGTACATCGAGCGAGGTAGTTAATATCTCCTCTAAATCGCGTCTAAAAATATAATCAGTCGAATTATTCAATTGCTAGAGAATAAGCGCTGGCGGTGGGTCACCCAGCGCATATTAAAAACAGTGTCACCTTCACTGGCACTGCACAACGCTCGCGATGTAGCGCTTGGAAGGTGAGGAGGTTCTTTCGTCTTCTTGACTTTCTACCACCACCACGAACCACCACCAGGCTTGAGTCCTTGCGGGAAAAAGGGCCAGGTCGACATGGCGGCATCCGTGAAGCCGCCCGCAATGCCTCCTCTACGTCTGCACGAGGTGACTCTGCGGCCGCTATGCGGGCCACGTCGTTGGGCAGCGGAAACCGCTCTCACAACCGCTTGTTGTTGTACTGTACTGCAATATGCTCCTACATCGATCATCATGCCGCCTTTCACCAAACCTGCATTGGCCAGCGTGGTGAAGTATGTTCACGTTACCTCCACAACCTGGGGTGGATTGACATCACAAACCCGACTTTACCCAACCAACAGAGTTAATTTATGCTCTTGTAATGTTTACAGTCTGATCACAGACGAAAGTGTGTGCATTTTTAGTGACTGGATATGTCACTGTGTAGTGCCGGGCCTGCAAGGCCACGGCGGATAATGCATTGTCATCGTGCACACCCCAGATATGGGTGTAGTACCAACCCTAGTGGGGATTGGGGGAAGTGCTGGTTAGCGTGGTGGCACCACGCGCAGCGTGCGGTGCAGGCTCCCGCTAGAGAGAGCGAGAGAGTGTCAGCTCAGCCAGGGTTACCTGGGGTGCTGATACTCTGGCTGACCTGGGGACACGTGACCAAATGACACCGGAGAGGGCCCCAGGTGGAGGGGGCCAGAGGGTGGTCACATGGTCCGAAAGAGAGCCTTCGAGAGCCTTCAGGTAAGGGCGAGAAAGATCGCGAGGGTGGACGGGGCCAGGGGTGGCGCCGGCCCCAGCCCAGAGAGATAAAAGGGGGCCCCTGTCAGCCACGCGGTCCGGGACCCAGCTTCTGGTCCGGACTGGGATCGCGTATCAGTAGAAGTGATTACGCCATTGTGTGGTTAGCCGGGTGGTCAACACCCTAGATGTATGTTGTGTTTAACTAGTAATAAATATGCTGCTCCTAATGACAATGTTTGCGACTCAGTTGGACTCACTACACGTGTATAACGCGTCCATTCTTTGTGTCCTCACAGCCACGTGCCATCCAAACGCGGCTTCACCGGTCGAGCTGCGAGTGGCGCTGAAGATGCCTGCGGCAGCGCCTTGCGGACTCCCGAGAGGTGAACATTGCTCAGCACGCAGCCCGACCCAGAAGGCCCCAATTGAAGTATTTACATTTGATGGGGCTATAAATATATAATTATATATCTCTTGAACGCAATCAGACAGCGCAGAAAGTAAAAACACAACAATAAGCACAATCCAGGACACCAAATACAGCAATTTGACAATTCAAAGTCATCTAAAAACATTCAGAGAAATACAAACACAGAGATCCACGTAGGGCCTGAATATACTTGTGGGGCCAGTACTGTTAGCGTGCACTTATTAACGCAGGAAGTTGTACGAGATGGTGGTTGTGACGATAGCTGCACTCCCGACCGCCTTTGTCTCCCAGTGGCTGTGTTTATGCAACGCAACAGATTCTCAGTTGAGTTTGAGTCGACCCAGGGAAGGCCCAGTACCGGTTCAGATGATCGTCACCGGTCTTTGGCCACGAAGGGGAATCGACCTCGGGTCGCTGGGTTCGTAGCCCAGCATTGCACTCACCACTGTGGCCACCGCTCCCCCCACCCGGAGTCGTCCACAGGCGCTAGTGACACGCCGCTGGGGAATCCCCGCCGCGTGATCAGCGGAGGGGATTCCCCTTGGCAGCGTTGCCACTCACGACCCCTCACGTCCATTCTCACTGACGTGCGCACACTCCTTCACTTTGACGTTGTAGCTCGTGTGCCTAGACTCGGAGGGTTCTGCCACGCGTGGTTTAATTAAAAATATATTCTCAACAGCAGTAATTTCCCCCGTACTTTATGTGATGTACAATGGGTGGGTGGCGTTCGTGCGAGTGAATAAGTTCATCCAAACTGCACCGGGATTGTTCACCCGACGCTGGCGGGACGAGCCGTCTCGAGCACGCCCTGCGCACAGGACGTCCACAACGCACCGAGTGTCTCTCAACTCCGTGCTCTGTACAAGACGCATTTACTCACACTCGCCTGCCCCTAACATCCACCATTTCACAAGGCGGAGGGGAGACCGGTGTTTTATTATAATTTTGTATTTGCTTGTTGTTTATTTTATAATTCATGTATTATTAATACGTAATTTATTTTATTTTAATGATTAAATATTTGATTAATGTTATTTTCTAATATTATTTATCTAAATTATACGTTCATTGAAATTATTAATGCCATTATTAATTTATTATTTATACATACTTGATTTGACGCTTTCGTGACTGCAGGAATTATTATTTGGTTCTTTCGGTAAAGTCACGTAGAAATAGAAAATAATAAATTACATAACATCATACGACGTTTCGATTGCAAAGCAAGCAATCATCATCAGGCACAAATGAAAGAGAAACAAACCTAGTGAACTTAGAAATATAATGCAACAGCGCAGAAAGTCGGCCGACACAGCAATCAACACCCTACCTGGTTGATTACGTCCAAGAGACACAGAACCGGAGACACATACACACGTAAGCGGAAAGAGCTAACACAGAGACACAGAGAGAGAGAGACACACGCATGGGCACACAGAAACAACGTCCCTGTGTCGATGCCTTAAATAGCCAGAGAGGGGGTACAGAGAGAGAGAGGGGGTCAGAAGAATTAGCATGTCAATGGGAGATCCCAAAATGAGAGCTCCCCCGCCAACGCCGAGGGGAGACAGAGACGGAGGCAACACCAAATCAAACTAACTTAGCAACATTTGGAAATGTAATGTAATGCGACACAGAGTCGGTCGACACACAATCAACATATGGCCTGGTCGATTACGCCACTCCAAAGATTGCTCAATTAGAAGTTAAGTGTGAAATTTGGGAGAGAGACAAGGCACAGACATGGAGACACAAAGACAGACACACAAGCAGAGAGAGACAACAACGAGACACAGAGAAATTTGGGAGAGAGACATGGCACAGACATGGAGACACAAAGACAGACACACAAGCAGAGAGAGACAACAACGAGACACAGAGAGAGAGGAAAAAACAAACTTAAAACCTCCCCGTAGAGGTGGTTCAAACTTGATTTGACGCTTTCGTGACTGCAGGAATTATTCTTTGGTTCTTTCGGTAAAGCCACGTAGAAATAGAAAATAATAAATTACATAATGCGTGTGTCTCTCTCTCTGTGTCTCTGTGTTAACTTTTTCCGCTTGTGTGTCTGTGCATGTCTCCAGTTATGTGCCTCTTGGATGTAATCAACCAGGTAGGGTGTTGACTGCTGTGGCGGCCGACTCTCTGCGCTGTGTTGCATTATTATCTAAGTTCACTAGGTTTGTTTCTCTTTCATTTGTGCCTGATAATGATTGCTTGCTTTGCAATCGAAACGTCGCATGATATTATGTAATTTATTATTTTCTATTCATACATAATTAACT